CCATGCCTTTAGATATCTGTCCATTTCTTTTAGGTTTTCTAATTTAGTAGCATATTTTTTAAAGCATTCCCTTATAATGTTCTGTATCTTTCTGGTGTCTGTTGTGATGTTTCCCCTTTCAACTCTGATTTTGTTGATTTGGAGGTGCTCTTTCTTTCTTTTGGTTAACTGGGCTAGCAGTCTGTCAATCTTGTTTATCTTTTCAAAGAACCAGCTCTTGGATTCGTTGATTCTTTGTATTGTTTTTTTTTTTTTTTTCAATTTAATTAATTTTTGCCCTGATTTTTGTTATTTCTTCTTGTCTGCTGGGTTTGGGTTTCATTTGTTGTTGCAACGTCTTGAGTTGCAATGTTAAGTCATTTCTTTGTGTTCTTTTCAATTTTTTGATGTAGGCACTTAGAGCTATAAACTTCCCTCTAAGGACAGCTTTCAGCGTGTCCCAGAGGTTTCGTTGTGTTATATTGTCCTTTTCATTTAGTTCCAGGAATACTTTTATTTCTTTCTTAATTTCTCTTTAGACCCATTCATCATTCCAGAGTGTGTTGTTTAATCTCCATGTGTTCATATGGTGATTAGGGCGTCTTCTGGTGTTGATTGTAAGCTTTATTGCATTGTGGTCTGGTAGAATGCATGGAATTATTTCAATCTTTTTGTATTTGTTGAAGTTTTTTTGTGCCCCAGTATGTGGTAGATTTTGGAGAAGGTTCCATGGGGTGCTGAGTAGAAAGTATGTCCTTTGGTGCTTGGGTGGACTATTTGGTAGATGTCTTTTAAGTCCATTTGATATGGTATTGTTTAATTCGGATGTAAAACTAAACACATACACACACACACACACACACACACACGCTCATGTATATATGCTGTGGCACACACGTGGAGGTCAGAGTACAGCTTGCTGAAATCAGTTCCTCTCCTGCTACATGAGTTCAGGCATTGAACTCAGTTTGGCATTCTTACTGCCAGGTACCTTTACTTGCTAAGCCATCTTTCCTGCCTCAGTAATTAAATTATCCTGTAAAAGTACCAAGTCAGGTGAATTTTGTAAACACCTGCAGAGTACCCAGCACAGGAAATGCTGTCCTGTTCAAATACTGCTATTAGTTGACTTCACATCTGCAAATGAAATAAACCCCTTTTGGACAATGTGACTTTCTCTGCAGACCTGCTCTGTATAATACACCTGTATAATACTATCACTACTAACCATGTGTGGACTTTAAATTTAATTGAACTTTTTTTTTACATGTATACATGTTTTGCCTACATGTAGGTAAGTGCACCCATGTCATGCAATCCCCATAGAGGACAGAAGAGGCTGTTGGATTCCCTGGAACTGGAGTTACGGACAGTTGTTAGCTGCCATATGTGTGCTGGGATTCAAACCTAGGTCTTCTTCAAGAACAGCTAGTGTTCTTAACTGCTGAGCCATTTTTCCAGCCCAAATTTAATTGAATTTTTAAAACAAATTCCTCACTCAGTGTATATACAAATACATTTCCATTATCACAGCATTTCTAGACAGCATGGCTGTAGACAGAACAGAAAAGCTGACAGTGCTGCTTGCATTGTGTGCTTCGCTGCCTGTGGTTACCTACACCTCTTGTATTTTTTTTTCTTTATATGTTTGTATGTGTGCCTGCATGAGCTTATGTGCACCACATGTGTGCAAGAGCCGTGGAGGCCAGAAGAAGGCATCAGATCCCATAAAACTGGAGTTACAGGCAGTTGTGAGCTGCCATGTGGGTGCTGAGAACTGAACCTGGGTTCTCTGCAAGAGCCATAAGCACTCAACCCCTGAGTCATCTCTTCAGCCCACTCTCAACTCTTAAAACCAAAATGGATCATTTTCTTATTTTGTCCAACAGAGTTCTTTTAAAAGATTTGTGTGTGTGCACATGTGTGTGTGTGTGTGTGTGTGTGTGTGTGTGTGTGTGTGTGTGTGTTTGCCATGTGTGCAGGTGCACACAGAAGCCATCAGATGCCCTGGAGCTGGAGTTACAAGCAGTTGTGAGCCACCCAACATGGGTGCTAGGAACAAAACACAGGTCCTGTGGGGGAACAGGAAGCCTTCTTAGCCACTGAGCCATCTCTTCAGTCCTACAACGGTTTATTATGTAGTTTATCTACTTTGAGTATATGAATTTCCTTTTTTTTTCTTTTGGGACAGGGTCTCTCTGTAGCCCCAGCTGTCCTGGAACTCACTATGTAGACCAGGCTGGCCTTGAACTCACAGAGATCTGCCTGACTCTGCCTCCCAAGTGCTGGGACTACAGGCGTGCGCCACCACGCCCAGCATGAATTTTAAATTCCATTCTAGATCAGCTGTTGCCTCTCCCTGCAGCCCTAGTTTTCAGTCTCTGTCTTGTTTTTTTATATATGTTGTATTTATTATTTTTTGTGTCTGAGTGTATTGCCTGAATGTGTGTAAGTGCAACTGTGTCATGCAGTGCCCTTGGAGGTCAGAAGAGGGTATTAGATTCCCCCAGAAGTGAAGTTTGGGACAGTTGTTAGCTGCCATGTGAGTACTGGGAATCAAACCCAGGTCCTCTGCAAGAGCAGCCAGTGTCCTTAACCCCCGAGCTATCACTTCATCCCCCAGACTCTGTCTTGTTGATCTTTAATTCTGTAGACAGCCAAGTCCTGTCACAGATTTACTAGCACTGCACGATGAGTCTTCCTTTCCTTGTTATGCTAGTTGTAGCTCCTGATTTCCTTTTTCTAGAGGTGAAGCTGCACCATATAAGTCTCCTAGGCAGTTTGTTGTTTCTGAGGTAGGTGGCAGCACTATTCAGATTTACACTGTTTTAAAACAGAGCAAATATAATAATGGCACTTCTTTTACTTTTGTAACTTTTTAACTACAGGAATGGCTGGCCCTGCGGTCTTCTTGGTTGCTGCTGGATTTATAGGCTGTGACTATTCTTTGGCTGTTGCATTCCTAACCATATCGACAACACTAGGAGGCTTTGGCTCCTCTGGATTTAGCATCAACCATCTCGATATTGCTCCCTCGTGAGTACTAATATAAAGATGTGCAGACACTGTTTGTTTCTTACAATCATGGTAAAAATTGCCATTTTAACCATTTTTAACTGTTCAGTCACGTTGTCATACAGTCATCACCACCAACCATCTCCCAACTTTTCCACCCAGTTGGAATTCTATGCCCATTAAGCAAATGCAAATACTCCATTTCCCTTCTTCCCACATCCTGGAAGTCATAATTCTTTCTGCTTCTGTGAATTTGACTATGAATGACTAGAATTTTTGCTGGATCTCAGTTTATATAGTGAGTTGTTTTTAAGCCTTGAACAACCATCACCTCTGTCCATGGTGTTCTCATAAAACTGCAATGACACACTGTAACTTGGGTCTGTAACCAGAATAGGAGTTCTGTGAAGGCCCAGACTGACCATGCTCAGGGCTCACCATGGTGTTTGACACACAGTAGGCATTTAATTGGACAGATGAATGACAAAGAGGGGCCTGAGGATGTAGCTCAGTTAGTAGAGTGCTTGCCCAGCATGCACAAAGTCATGGATTTGCTCTCCAGTACCCTATAACCTGGGCATGGTGGCACACACCTATAATCCCAGCACTTGAGAGGTGGAAACAGAAGAATTGGAAATTCAGGGCCAACCTAGGATGCATGTAATCCTGTCTTTTAAAAAAAATGAGGCCAGCAAAATGGCTTAGAGAGTAAACTGCAGAGCAAGGCTTATGACCTGAGTTCAATCTCTGGAATCCATGTTACTGAGAGATGTCGGGCATGGTGGTGAACACCTTTAGTCCCAGCACCCAGGAGGCAGAGGCATGTGGATCTCTGTGAGATTGAGGTCAGCCTGGTCTACATAGTGAGTGGGGCCACAGGGAGAGCCTGTCTCAAAAAGACCAAAAAAAAAACATAATAAAAGAGAACTGACTTCACAAAGTTGTCCTCTGACTACATGCATACCGTGGCACACACATGACCACACATGCATTATAAAGACACTACAAAAATCACTATAAGCCCAGGCTGGCCTCAAATTTCCCAGCCTCCTGCCTCTACCTCTCCATTGCAGGGATTATAGGCATGTATCACCATGCCTGGTGATTGGTCATCTGTGTGCATGTATGTGCACGTATGTGTGCATGCCTATAGCGGTCACATGACAACTTCTGCTGTTAGTCTTCAGACACCAGCCATCCTTTTGTGGGGCAAATGGGGGTCTCACTGACCTGGAACTTGCCAAGTAGGCCAGGCTGGCTCTCTAGCAAGCCCCAGGGACCCTCCTTGCCTCTGAGTCTCTAGCACTGGTATTGCAAGTGTGTGTCACTGTTCCTGCCTTTTTATGAGGGTGCTGGGAATCTGAACTCAGACCCACATGCTTGCCCTGCAAGCACTTTACCAGCTGAGCCGTTTCCTAGCCCAGCTGCTTACTTGTCACACCCCCTGAGTATCTGAGGGAGGGCACAGGCCTGGATTATGTGGTTTGTGGGTCACAAAATATTTAATATTTGTGACAAGTTAAATACAAAGTTGGGGAAGTTGGCATGGGGGTGCACGTCTTTAATTCTGGTGCTCAGAAGGCAGAGGCAGGCAGATCTCTGTGAGACTGAGGCCAGCCTGATCTACTTCGTGAGTTCTAGTCCAGCTGGGGCTACAGTGAGACACTGTCTCAAAAAAAATTGAGGAGAAAGACTTTAGAAATAAATATATATATATATATATTACAAAAAAAATTTTTTTGATGAACTCAAGAGGTGGAGGCAGGAGGAACAGGACTACATATTAAGTTCAAAGCCAACCTAGATTACATATCAAGACCCTGTTTCAAACTAAAAAATAAAATAAGAACTTGAGCAGACCTTTGAAATCATTCTAGTCTGCTCATATAAAAAGTTCAAGAAGGTTATACAAGATCAGAGTCTAATCGTGGGGTTCAGCTGATAGAATCTGTAAGGCTCTAGGATCAGTTCTCACTGTTGAAAAGAAAGTATAATGTATATCCCTAGTATGGATGACCCTTCAGACTAGACACTTCAGCATCTTAGATCTCACCTTTAACAGTTCCTGGCATAAGCAGATAAAGCACAGACAGGAAGCTGGGTGTGGTGGCTCACACCTGCAATTCCAATCTTATTTCCAGTTTTTTAGTCACAAAAGTAAATAGGGTTGGAAGAATCTGTAATACGCCGCATCTTTGAAATAAGAGTAAAGAACACGTTCAGGTAGGATAGCAAAGGCACACGAAGCTGTCCTTGGGAGGGAGGCCAAGCGATGGCTACTTGGTTAGGTAAGAGCGTCCCAGTGACTGGGGAATGCATTTAAAATTTACAAAGTAGAACTAAGGCTGTTTACCCAAAACGGATTTAAGGAAATAGCAAATAACTTAAAATTTGAGGGGCTGGGGCTCAGTAGAAGAGATGTGTAAGGCTACGGGTTCAGTCTTCAACACTGTAAAAAAGTAAAAGAATAAAGATCTGAAAAACATTCATTAATGCTACTAATTAAGTCAAAGAAAGGAACCTGGAAAATATTTCAGTTGAAGTATTCAATTATGTAATTTATGGGGTTATAGAAAGTTTTAGGTAAGAAAGATTTTGAGTAATCTCATCCCTCAGTTTGGTCCATGGACCAGAAGCAACCAAGAAATACAGAATCTTGGGCTGGAGAGACAGCTTAGCAGTTAAGAACACTGACTGTTCTTGCAGAAGACCCGGGTTCAAATCCCAGCACCCACACGGCAGCTAACAACTGTCTGTAACTCCAGTTCCAGGGGATCCAACAGTCTCTTCTGTCCTCCTCGGGCATTGCACGACACAGGTGCACTTACCTACGTGCAGGCAATACACACATACACATAAAATAAAAATAATAATTTTTTTAAAGTGAAACCTTAGTTTAATCCATAGCATTTCATAAAATGGGTGGGGTGGTACATGCCTGAAATCCCCTCAGGAAGTAGAGGCAGAAGGATCAGAAGTTCAAGGTCATCCTTAGCTACATAATAAACTTGAGGCCATCCTGGGCTACATGAGACTTTGTCTCAAAAAAACAAAACAAAACAAAAAAACAGTGGGTGGGAAAGATGGCTCAGTGGTTAAGAACATTTGCTGCTCTTGTAGGGTTCCATTCCCAGGATCTACGTGGCAGCTAACAACTGTCCAACTTCAGTTCCAAAGGACCTGATGTACTCTTCTGGCCTCCAAGGGCACTAGGTATGCATGTGGTGCATATATACATATAGACATATAGACAAACACTCATACACATACAAAAATTAAAACCTTAAAAAAAAGAAACACTGGTTGTTCTTGCAGAAGACCCAGGTTCAAATCCCAGCACCCACATGGCAGCAAACAACTGTAACTCCAGTCCCAGGAGAACCAACAGCCTCTTCTGACCTCTGGGAGCATTGCACGACATGGGTGCACTTACCTACATGCAGGCAATACACGCGTACAAATAAAATAAAATAAAATAAATTTTTTTTAAAAAGAAATACAGAATCTTGGGCTCTGCCACAGGCCTGCTGACTAGAATCTGTACTGTGAGATTCTTCGGTGAGTCTCTGCACTTCAAGTGTGAGGCACTAGTCTAGTCTTCTCAGTCTTCAGCATATAGTTGCATAGTATACATACGTTTAGCACCACACATGACATGCTTTCAAGATTGTCAGATTCAGAAATTAATAAAAACTAAGCAGTTGTAATACACTGTAATTTATTCTTTCAACAAATACTATCCACCATGTGTGCAATCCTAGTACTTGAAAGACTTGAGTCAGGAGGATTGCCAAAAGTTGAGGCCAACCTGGCTTACATTAAGACCGGTCTGAGCTATATAGTGGGAGCCTGTTTCAAAAAAATAAAAAACTATGACTGGAGCTATAGCTTAGTTGGTAAACTGCTTGCCTGGAGTAAAAGCAACACTGGGCCCAGTCACCAGCACTCCATAAGGTAGGTGTGGTAGTGCATTGGGGAAGTAGTCAGGAGGATCAGAAGTTCAAGGTCTTCCTTTGCTCCATGTCAAGTTTCAGGCCAGCCTCAAACCACATGAGACCCTATCTCAAAAAATTAACTAGTTGAGGGGATAGAGAGATGGCTCAGCAGTTAAGATCTCTGGCTACTCTTGCAGAGGACCCAGGCTCAGTTCCCAGTACTCACATGGTGGCTCACAACAGTCTGTAACTCCAGTTCCAGGCAATCCGATCACCTCTTCCTGGCCTCCACAGGCACTATGCATACATGTGGTATACATACATACAGTTAAAACACTCATACACATCGAATAAATAAATCAAAATTCTTTGAAGACAATAATCAGATGTTTTAAAGACAAAGTGAGAAAATGTCATAGAGGAGATAAAATGTGGACTAGAGGGAAGGTGTGGTCTCTGATACTGAAGCCTGAAGAAACAGCACAAGGCAGGCAGCCAAAGTGACGTTCCTGGAGGCAGGCACAGAGCTCTGTAGAACACTTGCCTAGCTGTGAATGAGTCTGGTCCTTATTATTGAACAGCAAGCGCTCTTAATTTCTGAACCATCTGTCTAGCCCTTACGGAGGTGACTTTACTATTAAGTTCATAAGTTTATGTAAGCTTACGGCATAGTGGCACAATCCTTTAATCTCAGAGACAGAAGCAGGCAGATCTCTGTGAGATTGAGGCCAGCCTGATCTACATAGTGAGTTCTAAGCTAGCTGGAGCTACAGGGAGACCCTGTCTCAAAAAACCTAAATAAATATGTAAAATACTTATAAGTCATTCTTACAGGCAGCTTTGCAATAAACAGTCAATATTCCTGTTAACATGGAATTTTGTACATAGTATTTTCCAAGCCCTTCCATAAACTGAAATGAAGTTTTTTTTAAATATTTTATTATTTTTATTTTATGTGTATGCATGTATTGCCTGCCTGTAGGTAAGTGCACCTGTGTCAGGCAATGCCCACGGAGGTCAGAAGAGGCCATTGGATCCCCTGGAACTAGAGTTACAGTTGTTAGCTACCATGTGGGTGCTGGGATT